CCCCCCCTCCCCTCCCTCTCTGCGTCAACAGCCATCTGAGAAAAGGCAGGTCGTTTTATCCACTTGTCCAGGCCAAGTTTGTTCTTGTCTAGAGCCACTTTATGGTCTCATCAGACTCTCATGACTATGTGACATACATGGACTGCCACTCTTGCCGCAAGGCTCCATTGATGGAATTGTTTGGCAACTTTGCCAGAATATGGAACAGAAAGCAGATCAGGTTCATGGTAGGTTCAGATGCAGCACCACAGGTGAGCCATGATCATATGGCGCCACCGATGGATTTTATCGACGGCAGGCCCAGCCTCTTTGATCGTTTGTTTAAACCACCACTACCTGCAGGCCTCTGAATTTCAAGTTGTAGTCACAACCTGAAGTGTCAACAGGCTGGGCCTGGTGTCAATAAAATCCATTGGGCGTCGGTGCGTTACAGGCCTCCAGACTTCGTGGAGCCTTTTCAGTGACAGGTGTGCTGCAGGTAGTCGTGGGGGGGGAAAGAAGAATTGCCTTCTCCTTCCGAAACTGTGAGGTCCCCCCCTCTGTTTGCTAATATAGTAATATCAGTCCCTTTATCTATTTCACTGTTTTGCAGTTCCAGTCAAAGGCTCAGGACCAAAACCTGGTGAGCGTGGTCGGAGGGCTTCAATAGGTGTCGAAGGGGATGCACTGCAAAAGCGAAGGGCATCCATAGAACTGGACATGCTTGCAGAAATGATTGGGGCAAATACAAAGGTGTGTGTGTTTCCTCAACATCGTTAATTCTGCTTCTGCCATACAAATCATGAACACACGCGAGCAAGGTGTATATGACTGTGGTTTTCACCATCCACATCACCTGTCTGTACAACCGCTCACGTGATGTCTTTTTCATGTGCTAACACTCATAGCAGATGAGAAAGACATCACCTGAGCTGTGGTATAGAAGAATGATGTGGTTGCCCCTGCTTTTTCGGCGAGTGTTTGGTGGGCATGCTCGTTGCCCCTTCTTTCTCACGAAGTGGTTGGTTGGCATGCTTACTGCCAGCCCAGTGTGCCAACTGTTGTTCCTGAGAATACTCAGCTAGCTCTTCCATGTAATCACCCACCTAATCCCTGCTTTTCGTATCTTCTCTTTTATCAAGGATGGATTCACCCCTTTGTCTTCTCTGGTACTTCCCTATGCTCTCATCTTCATTCCACACTCCTTACTTTCCCTGTGTCTTCTTTGGCTGTGTCTTCCTTTCCATATTTCCTCTCTCCATTCTCCCTCTAGTCTGCCTCTTTTTTACAGTGTGCACTGTGCAACAAACTGGGGCTGTTATAGCACATGGGGATGTAGGCAGCTCACACTCGACAAGATGGGGCAGCCTTCTACACCAGAGGCACAGTGAAGGGAGAGCTAAGAGAAGAAATGAAGGAACTGCACAGGAAAGGCAAAAGAAAGGTTTCAGTGTACTTCATGCACTCTGCTATTTTCTTCATTTAAGCCGCCACTACTCACTTTTTCCTTTTTTTTTTTGTCTTAAAACGCCCACCGCACCGCCGGTAAGCGCGCGACTGCGCCAGCACGCCCGACCCGGGCGACGCAATCCCGTCATCGCACCACTCACGTAGTCGCCACCACACTACCATCTGCGGATCCGCCATCACGCGAAGCCGCCATCGCGGCTTTCGCGCCAGAAAGCCAGCACATAACGGAAGACGATATCCCAACTGAAACTCTCGGCGAGCAATGGTGGAGAAGGGAAGAAGGATGAGGAAAGAAGGGGGAATTGGAGAGAGGGATGAAAGGAGGTAGGGGAAGAAAGATAGCGAAGTGAGAGGGAAGAGAGAGTGAAGGTGAAGGAAAGAGAGGAAGAAAGAGAAAGGCGAGAGAGAGAACGAAGGAGAGAGAAAGAGAGACAAAGACGACGGAGAGTAAGAGAGAGAGAGGAAGAGAGAGGGGAGAGTGACCGAAGTAAGGACGACTTCTTTGCATAAGGACGAGAAGAAGGGGAAAGACAAATTCGACAAGGGAAGCCTCCATAGCGGTCGCCTTCACCAAGCGGCTTCCTCCAAGGCACCAACTTTCAAACATCAAGCGGAACTCCTTACGAGTAAAGTTACACGCTAACGCCCCTATCTATCCCCCCACTATTCCGACAATCAGCTACTAACTCCCCTTGCCAGCTGCTCGATCTGACACCTCAACTCAATCTTCTTTTCGTCCCCGTCCCGAGCCTGGTTCGACCCTACCCCCCCTTCCTATCCCACACCAGTCCTACCTCGTTCCTTCATCCCCCATCCCCAGCTCCCTCCCACTATCGATTAAACCCACCCCCTTCTTGACTCSGATCCCAACCCTTATCGATCCCCCTCCCCCTCTGATCCCAACCCCAATCAACCGCGACTCATACCCAAACCCAGTCTCAACCCACCTCGCCGCCCACCCGACCCGGACCCGCCCCGATCCCAACCCTCCTCACCTCACGACGGTACTCATCTCCCCCCCCACATTAACCTTTGTGATCCTAACGTGCTCTGTTTCACAACGCCCCACCCGTCCCATATCGCCCCCGACCCCGACCTCCGGCGATCCCACTCCACCTCAATCCCCGTACACCCTCTCCTCCTCCTCCCCGACCCCGACCTACCTAATTAGTCTCTCCCCAAACCCGATCCCAACCCATCCCGACTTCTACCCGATCCCACCCATATCACCCCCACCGATCCCAACCCAATTAATCCCGACCCTTACCCGTCTCAACCCAACCTCGACATTCCTTTAATCACATCCATCCCGATCTTGCCATCGACCCTGGCCCGCTGCATCCCCATCCTACTTCGATCCGTATCCACCCATACTCCCCCTCCGATTCAGATTCACTCTGGCTCTCCCCAAACTCAACCATCCTAAAACCGATCCCACTCCACTACCCGCCGAATTCAATCCCAACTGACCCCGTCTCCCGACACTACTCGTACCTTACCCTCTTCTATATCACCACTAGCCCAACCCCCTGCAACCCCAACCGATCTCATCTCCCACCCACCCTCACCCCCCTCCCCCTCCCGATATCGAACCGCAAAGACCCCAGCCCATCCCGAATTCGATCCAATCCCGCTCCCAGCTCCTCCAAACCCGATCGTAGTTCATCTTGACTATCGATCTCCCCCACCTCACTCCCGACCCGCCACGATTCCATTTCTTCGAATTACACCCTCCTTGCTTCCACCCGACAACTTCCCTTGAACCCAATCCCAGCCCAGCCCAATCAATACTTGACCTTACCCCAACTCCATCCCGATAACAATCCCATCTTTCCCCGACCCTCACCTGATTCCAATCCCCATCTGCTAATCCGATCCTGATTCCTGGTGATCTCCTTCTCCCAGCTCTCCCCAACCCTCACCGAYCMCGACCCAATTGAAACCAACCCACTCCGACCCTCACCTTCCTTCAGYCCCCCCCATCCCCTCTATATCCCGAGCTTCGCCCAGTCTGAATATCATTTACCCCACCTCGCTCGTCATCTTCATCGCCCTTCATCTGACCCTACCCTCTCCCCACCACAATCCCGTTTTGTTCCCGAATCTCGTACAATCCCAGTCTAATTAGTCTTTTCCGACCCATTCCCATCTCAACTCCAACACGACATCTCATTATCTACTCTATCCCGATCCCTATCCGGATCAGCAGCCCCCTCTCAAGCCCATCCCTCCCCTCACTCCACCTCATCTCTCACGGATCCGACCTGACGCTATCCCACTCAGTGGTCCCAAAGCTCACCACTCCATTCCCAGACTCTACCCCCCACACCTTTTATCGATCCCGATCCCAACTCCACCCCGATCTTYAGTCRAGTTCRGTCTCGTTTTCTTTCTGATCACGKTCCTAATCACAATTCTCTCCCCCTGGTTCTGGGGGATTGTCCCCCCCATCCCGTAATCGAGGCTCTCACCATAATCCAAGGGGAACGGGAAGGATAGGGGATAGAACACAGACTAGGATTGCCCTCGACCAGAATGGCATCTCTGCTCCCAAACTCGGCCACAACTAGTCAAGGTACGAGAGAAAACGTCAACAGTTTTATCGACAATGAAGCACTCAAGGTCCTGATAGAAAAAAACAAAGTCCAAGGAGAACAAATCAGAGAAATCCAAAAGGTTGAAGGTAAAGAAGAAGAGACCATCATTTGGAAGTATCCGGAAGAAAAGGTGGCAGAACTGGATGATTTACACGAGAGGCACGGCGTGGTATTCAACTTTGCACGGAATGGAGCAAATCTCCAACCACCCGAGAAAAGGAAATGGATCATAGAGGTAATCAAGAAAGAATTGAAACTCAAACAATCGGGTGAGACGTTTACATTGCAGATTCTGGGTTGGAACAACATCATGGCACTGTTCATACGAGAGGAACATGCGAAAGCGGCGGCGGGACTACAGTCCAGGAACTGCCATGGTTCGGTGTGCACAATCAACAAATGGAAAAAACTGTCTTCCCAGAAACAGAACCAGACATTCGCGGTCTTATACAAACAGACACTTTTAAAAGAAAATTTAAGGGTGCAATTTGACAATGTGCGACCGAGGCTGCACGGGCTGTTGGTGGACAGATTAGAAAGGCAATATCCGGCGAACAAAATCCTGAAATGGGTGCTCCCTACACCAGATTTTCTGGCCCCGCACTGTGGATCCATGACGGCAGTGATTGAGGTGAGGACAGACAACCCCCCGGTCTTCCCACAGACCTAGAAGTTTCAGATTGAAAGCAGATCAGTGGAAGTCAAGGTGTCAACCAAGTCCTCCCCGATCTGCTTTCGGTGCAGAGAAAGAGGCCACATGGGAACAGACCCAAACTGCCCCAAGTATCTGAATCAACCGAAGGAACGAAAACTCCTCCCCAACATGTTAGTGGAGTTGGAGGACGCCCCGGGCATTTGGTTCATTCCGGACAGTAACTACAATGGGTGGGTCTTCGACGACAATTTGGAGGTTCCGGACTGGGTATGGCATTATGCCCACCAGGAACCAGAAGTTAAAAAACCCAATGTCTTCCCCCCGGTTGACACCAGATGGCAGAAAAGAGCCATAGGGAAGGTATCGGGCAACCCGTCAAAAATCACCACTGACCCACTGATCGATTCACGTGTTATCAAGGAAGAAAAAGATAGAGAAGACTTGCTCTGGGATCTGGAAGCAGTAAAAGAACGGGCAATACAACATTTCAACAAGGATTCGACGAGCTTCAAAAGCATGTTGTCAAAGATGGAGCAAACATCAACTCAAAACAGAACAGGGTTTCAAACAGACAACAAATGGACGACGGAAAACGGAAAGACACAAGGGATTCAGGAAGGGGGCTCAAAGAGGAGGAAGGCAGTGGATGCGCAAGAGAAAGAGGAGGTGGTAAGCCTTCCAACAGACAAAGAAGGAGAGGATGGGAGAACAGATTCGGGAGGAACAGGGTCTGAGAAAACAAGTGAGAGCGGCAAAGGGGAAGGGGACAACAAAGTCTCTGATAGTGAGGGGGATTCTCACAGATCTCTGCAGTGGCTCAGGGATTATGTAGAGAAGGTGAAGAGGGAGAGGGAACATGCTTTTGATATTCGGGCAGCCTGTCTCAARCATGYAGAAAGATCTCARAAAAATGGTAAGAAAGGGATGGGCGAAGTAGGGAAATTAAGCAACCAATTTGACGTTCTCAGGAAGGTGAAGGCGGAAGAGTTATCGGAATACACAGCATTCAGATATGCAGAAAAGAAGAAAGC